AAGCTTTTTTGTTTAAAATTTGATGCTTTAACAGAAAAAAATATAATATACAGGGGTTTCCATTTAAAAACATGTTATTTTACTGAAAAAAATCAAAATAACGACTCTCAATTGTTTTTTTTTATTTCTCATTTTTACCAGCGTTAAAAATGCTACTATTTTGCTAATTCAAACAACTTTGTATTTTCACTAATAACAAAGTTACTAATGGTGGACACTTAATTTGGATAACCCTGTAGAGCCTTGGGGTACACCACTGATGAGAGTTTTAGGTTCAGAAAAAATCTAGTTGATTTTAAAAATTTGTTTACGGTTAGATAAATAATTTTGAATCAATTTCACAGATTCATTAGAAAAACCAATAAAATGCAATACTGCAAGCAGTAGCTGATGGATCAGCTTATCAAAAGCTTCCGAGTAATCTAATAATATCAATGCAGTTTACTCATTTTAATCAGTTGGTTCTATTATGTCATCAGTGATCTTTAGCAGGACAGTAGCACAGCTGTACCCTTCCCTGAATCCTGACTGATGGTCAGGAAGTGTTTTATTAGTATTCAGGTAATAACGAATTTGCCGCTCAAGAATCTTCTCAATAACTTTAGAAAGAGTGGGCAGTAATACTTATAGGTCTTAAATCCTTGAATTATTATATTTATTATATATTTAAACCACAATCAAAAATCTATCATCTCTACCTCCAAGCAGTAATCTCGATGAATATAACCAGGCACTTTGAACAAATTATCTACTGTACATTCTTTCATACCTTGCTATTGTCAAAATTGGCAAACATTTCTAATAGCACATACATCAGAGTCTTAAAACTTAGGTGACCTAAAAAGTCGGTGACCATCTGCATGCAGGTATTAGGTGAAGGTGAACAGATTCGATGTGCGTTACTGTCTGCGCGCCGTTTAGGTAGACCGAACTGTGTGTTTACATATAGTATTCAGAAGTCAGAAAATTGCTCATGTCTGTAGCAATGCCGGACTCGATTTGAATTTAGTTTGCGGAGGTTTACATTTCTAGTTGCGTAGGTGTGTCTCGTACAAAGACAATTTGTAGAAACTTTGAGTAGTAACAAACTATCATCACGAATCGAACGTGCACAAATTCATTTAAAGGCATACTGAAAAGTTGAACGTTGCTTTGCTTTTTCGCCGTCGTGAGAGCGAGTAACGAAAAGAGGAGAAATTTCGATCGAATGAGCATTCACTCAAGTGAGCCACCTGATACCAATTTAATCGCTAAACGCTACTCCTACTGTCCAATCATTCGGTGTTTATACCCAGCGCAAATTGAAACCGATCTACGCACAAATCACGTCCAACCTACGCTACGTGTGGATGTTATGAAATATAGATATGTGCATCATGCCGCATGCAACACCCACCTCAAGGCGAGGCTACTCAATCAACTCACGAACATGGGATTCGCTTACGCAGACCTAATAATTCACACTATTAACTCAGTATTTGGCGTGAACAGTAATCGTGTCTTTGAGGTGTATATTTTTTCAAACGTGTAGACAGTATACATGTTAGTATAAGGGCCAATTTCACCAACAATAGTCCGTTATTCTCCACCTATAGGGTAACAGACCGTCAAATACAACGAATGAGCTTCAAGTTTCAATCAACAAATTTTAGCAACCAATAGCTATGAAATGTTGAAAATAAAATACTGTCAAAGTACGAGATGACAGCTTGTCATTGAAACATCACCAGCTTATTGAATATTAAGAAATTACATATAATTCAGTCAAAATTTAAAGAAGTGTCGGATTTTTGAATAAAATTCATGTTTTATTTACTATTGTTGATTTTTAATTCATGTTTATATTATTTTCTTCAATAAGCCATATTTTTCTTTTTTCACGAGTACACATTCTAGGTTATATTTATATTAGACATTATTTGAATACAGCTGATTATTGCATTTCAAGGAGTGACACATGTGCGGGATCTGTCAACTCTTGGTACCAGTCACAAAACATATACTCTGAAGGTTTAATTCCATGCTATTCAATGACGACACGGTGACTTGTGTAGTTGTCAGCGGCCATTTTGTGAGGGTGCGACATGGTTGCCAGATTGTGCATTAATATCCCGTTTAACCACCCTGGTCACAGTGGAGTAAGCTCCGCCAACTGTTGAAATATACTATGCTTTATAAGAGTATTCCTGGAATTTTTCCCAAAATCGTTGCACAACACTTGGAAATGCAAATGAAAATTTAAAATTATTTCCATGACTCCGCAAAATAGCTCCGTCGGTACCTCGGGTTATACATCTTGACAGAAAGATGTTCGATAGTATCCTATATTTAGAAGTATCAATACATTTCACGAGTATCGTCATCTTTCGATCCGAACTGTGTCAGAAAGAGTGACTGCCATGTGGCTGCGACATTACCCTGCGAAATCAGACATATCTTTCATCATTTTCAAAGAAATTGTACAAAATCTTCAAACTTGTGAAGTTAGCGGGTTTCACTTCATACGTTGTTATCAGACATGCCCAAATCATCAGCTGCTGCCGTGATATTCATCCCGACCGCTGCATCCCCACGGCTAGGCGACCTGTATGTTAAATTTGTATTGATAGAGCAGCGGGTTATGCTATAAATCATATGTCACAGTTTTTGTGCACTGATTGCAACGGTTAGATATATAATAATAAGAAATATTTTCATAAATAGGAGATCTGTCCCATTCCGAATTGAACAATCCACCAAAGATGCTTATAATCATGATACCTAGTAAAAATCCTATGTATGTAGGTATATCAGAGCTTTCTTATATTTGTTCATCAATTTGATGTTACAACACATCTGCTAAAAATGATCATAATCAGGATAGTAAACTATAACGAAGGCCCGCTGTATGTAAGAATTTTCAGATACTTTATTTGCAATTTGACAACAGACCATGACGGTGTTCACATTTTTCAAATATTCTTCAAGAAGTGTTATCAGTCTAGCTGCAACTATCATAAGTACTATGTTTGTATTCCTACTTTAAATTCAAAACCAGCAAATGTAAAAGATTCATGTTGCACCCTTCATCACGGGACGTGATCGTCGTTAAACTTGGCAACCCTGCGAGTGACAGATAGATAACCTCACTAGTGAAAAAGGCATTCAAACAATAAACATTAAGAGTTTTTATGATTTTTGGGCTTAAGAGACATTATTTGTGAGACATTTTTCATAATTTTTTGTCTATGTCCATTGTAATTGCATTATGCATCACGGAGATGTAGGGATTAACACGTCTTACACATATTATTTGTGTTATAGGATGGAGAGGACAATGCTTTGAAGAAATTAATTAACCCGTAAATTATAAATTATTATCATGTAAAGGAAGATGAGGAATTGGATGAAATGTATTTTATATTCTATTTTCTTGCAAAATACAGACAAATCCATACTATTGCCATGCATTAACAAACATCCAAATCTGCTGCCAAATTTAACAGCTAGAAAATCGATCTATTATTTGCCGATTTCCCATTGGCTTTTGGGGATAACTGATTGTTAAATGTAAATTTATAACACAAATCAAAATACATGAAAGTCAACCTGTTTTCTCTGTACAAAAGCATCATGTTGGAATCAAGAAGTGGTCTTGTTTATAATACAGTCGAATTTTCACGATTTGATTCAATATTTTAATAGAAATCGCTGATATTCCGAGACCTTCGACAGCTTCTGTCAAATTGCATTTCGATAAGGTATTTTCCCATTGGTCCATAATATTATTGTAGCATCTAGACTACCTTCAGTTCCCTATAAACAATCTTGTTTCCCACGATTGTACCTTTTGAATGAAATTACTTGTATCTAGTCGTATTCTAGACCTGAAGGGGCACAGTTTCGTGTTGTAAAGGTGCCTACATAATAGGCACCACTGCTTGTTAACCCTAGGTTAGTCGCGTCTCTTATCCGCACATTATTAGTCGCGTGGGTGACAAGTGTCAACCATCCTAAAAAACAACCTATACAAGATTTTTCCAAAAATATTTATTAAATAAGAAACAAGATATTCTCTATAAGCCTCGACATAAAATGTAGGTTGATTTTAACAACAAAATATATTTAAAACATAAGATGACTGTGAATTACTACTTCAGTCGTTGTTTTCATAACATCGCACACAAATTTCTTTTAGGTGGACATTGCAAGCAAAATTTTGACACTGCGCGCAAAGTTTTCTAGTTGTTTTATCTCGTGCTCTTCCGCAGTAGTAACAGTGCCCTCTTGCTCCTCTTCGATCTCTTTGTTCAACTACAGAAGTTGAGGGTTCCAAACCCAGCAATACCATTCACCTGCGGCGAAGTTCCCGTGGAATTTGTGAAATGTAAGCTCTTCGTTTTATTTGTGGTGTCAACATATCCCATGCTAAGCTTTGCAAGAATTCAGTTCGGCGTAATTTTCCCTCGATTTGTTTGTTGAGCTTATAAATTATCATAGCATTTACAGCGGAAACATTTAATAAATTATAAAATACAACCATAGGCCAGCGTCTCGTATTTCTTGCTACATTATTTTTTTGGCATATTTGGTCTACTAAATCTACTCCAATCTTGGTACTGTTGTAAAATGTTATAATATCCGGCTTTTGATATTCTCCTGTGTCTTCACTGATTGCACTATCGTGATGCATGGTAGAAACTGCTAGAACTGCTTTATTCTTTTGTGGACAGTAAGAAACAATTGTACAGTCTTCCTGGAATCCAAAAATTGAAGTAAATTTATCCCGGTCTTTTTGGGGAAGAAACTCCTTAGGAATTTCTCTTTTATTTTTTCTGAGAGTACCTACGTATGTTAATTTCTTTTCAGTCAGCAGTTCATTGACTAATGGAATACTAGTGAACCAGTTATCTCCTGTGATGTTTCTATTTGTACCCTGAACTGGTTCCACCATCCTCATCACAATATCTTTGGCATTGTTACTTTGCTGATATAGACCTGGAGGTTGCAATCCAACATACGTTTCCAGTTTCATAGTATAAGCTGTTTTAGCATCAACCAAAGCAAATGTTTTAATACCATATTTACTTGGCTTATTGGGGATGTACTGGCGGAAAGCTGCACTACCTCTAAACGCAAGCAATTGCTCGTCTATAGTTAGATATTCACTCGGTGAGAAATATTTCTCAAAATTATTGGTGAATAGTTCAAACACTTCCCTAATTGCTGCCATTTTATCAAGTTCTTTACGCATGTTACGGTCATTGATGTTGTCAAATCTCAAACATCTCAAAAGGAAACGGAACCTTTGTTCACTCATAGTAAGATAACATGATTCAATGCCATTTCCCTTGGAGTTATCCCATAGTAAATGAATATTTTTACGAGAACATCTCATGGTGCCTATAAGAAACAACAATCCAATAAATGCCCTTATTTCTATCTCATCAGTACTCCTTGCATCTCTGTCCCTTGTAAATCCTTGACGTGTTTTCTCTATATAAATATTAGTGCACGCTGTAATTGTTTTGAGAATAATGTCGTCTAAAAAGAGTTCTGAATCTGCTACTTCTGTTTTCACTTCTCGTGCTTTACCTTTGGGTCCTGGTAAATGAATAATAATGTTACGGGACCTTGTTTTCACATTTCGTGGAGGATTCGCTTTTCTCCATTTCGTTATTTTGTCCTTCCCAATGTAGAAACTAGAAGAAACTAAAGGCACGTCTTCGTCACTTTCAACTTCTTCACTTTCTGCAACCTCTTGTTCCGATTCTGTATTATGCTCACTCTCTGTCAGTATATTTTCTTCCTCTTTCTCACTTTCATCTTCATCCTTAGAGCTTTCGCTCAGATCACTTTCATCACTTAGTTCATGGTACCACTTCAGCCATACATTGGGATCATTACTGGTCTCTACTTTTCTTTTTTTCTGTTCAGACATGGCCTTGCTACTACTTCCAAATACCTAAAGCAAAAATACCTTAGCATAGAGAGAAAAAATATTAAAAATTGAATTACCTTTGCCACAGTACAACAACACCTTAATAATAATTTAACAACGTAGAAGGTCGCGCGGGGGACACTTGTCAACCACTCAGCTTTGGTCAGCGATATCTCCACTAAACACGCACAAGCCGTACTAAATATTTGACGGCACAGACATCTATCATAACATGAAAGATACTCGGAGCGATGTTGCCAAGTGAGCTGAAACATTTAAATAGTGGCATATTAAATGAAAGTGTTTGACGATTGTCACCCGCGCGACTGACCTAGGGTTAATAGGTTGCAGTTTCAGTGACATCTAGAATGGGCACAACACTTAGGTGTCATTTGACAACCACCCACACCACTGCAATTCAATCTTGTCTGGCAATAAAAAAGCTTTTAACTCGTTAAAGCATTTGTTGTAAAGAACGAATCAATTTATGATATAAAGACTAAAAAATCTTATTTAATTATACATGTGTCTTCCACCTGAAATTAGTGGCTCATTGTTGATCACTGTGAATGTGAAGTTACCTCTTTATAATTTCTCTTGTAAGGCCTTGAAGAAGGAAATTGAATTTTATAAAACGTCGGCAACTTCATAACAGAAAACTGTGCGTCTTTAAATATCCGTTGTGCTAAATACGTTGTAGCTTAGAAGGCGAAACAAAGGGCAAATAATATTTTCCAGTCTCTTCCCAGCTCATCAAGCAAACCTTTCTTCACTCCGTCTGCAGGGGGGGTCACACTGGTCATCACACTTCATGTTCAGGAAGATGTTCTTCTCGTCTTCGGGGGTTGGGGGGGGTACAGCTTAAAAGTGATTAAAATATTAAGCCTAATTTAAAAATGAACAATTTATTATTAAGTAACAAAATTAATTCTTCTTTTCTGTCTTCCTGCGAAACGATTAACATTAATACTTACCATCTCCTTTGAATCCAGAGCAACAACTTTTTTGTGGTTTTGTCTGTCACAATGGCGCATTTAAGTAATGGAAAAATGGACATTGCCGCCTGGGCCCCCCAAGGAAGGGTGGTCACAGGCCTCCCCAGCAAAAATCAGCTTTAGTATCTATATTGTTCAGCGCGTCTGAATGTAAAATTGATAACAAGAGATCAGAGTGTTGTTATATTCTTTTAATGACCATCTGCGTAATGTTTATTACACAGAGCGTTTGCACTCAGTTTGAATAAGAAAATTTCCCTTTGATTTCTTGTAAAATCACTATTTCATTTTGAAAAAATGACCCAATTACCCCTTTATTGCTCAAGGAGTGGAGGACTTATTTTTTCATTTTGTGCTTACAGTGATATATTATTACCTGGCATATAATGTTCACTAAATAAGTATCTACGTGTTATGAATCAGCCTCTTTTAGTCTAATGCGTCTATTACAGTCTTCTCACGCACTTCTTTATTTGACGACATATCTATTTTCTTCGTGATAATATCGTGGAAGAAATTTTTTCAATGTATTATCAATTGCATAGAAGACGAAACTTCAAGAGTGGCGGCTTTTGGCGAAGATCTAATGAATTCAAGATCTCTCCTTTTCTCCATGAATTGGACCTTTTTTTCAATTTGTTATGGTGGTATTCAGTATTGAGCGTAATGAATATAGTGCGAGTTCAAATGCAAAAGAAAGAAATAGACGTGATTATGGTTCAAAAGTGCATTTCAGCAGCATTAAAAGAATTAAAACATTTGAGGAGCGAAAGCACATACGATAATTTTGATCTGAATGCTAAGAATAATTGGAAATCGGTATAGTAACGCATTTTTTTCGAATATCGTAGCCCATTTATTCAATTACTCACAAATACGAAATATTTAAATTTTTTTAGAAGAAAAAAACGTTATCTTTGTTTTTCACATAAAAATAACATTTACCTTTCGGAATGGTTTGTGAATCATATCGGCAAGGCAAACACGTGTATTTTGTTATTTAATCTTCCCTGAACGAACCCTGTATATTGCTCAATAAACTAGTAGTAATGGCCGGAAAACAGGTGTTTTGGGATAAACAATTAGAAATTCCCAAAAAACAGCTTGACCAATATACTCCAATTTTGTTGTTGTTATTAAGAACTACGGAGCCTACAGATTTGTATACTTTCAAGTATTTGCGTGAAATTATCGTCGCCTTACCAACAAGTGCCAAAACCTGCATTTTGTCTCGTTTTTCGGGCATAACATTTTTGCTATTACTCGTGTGATCTCATTTAATAGGTCTCATAAATAGCTAAAAATCTTTTTTGTTCCTGTCAACACTTTCGATTGAATCCCAAAAAACACGTTTTCTCATTCTTTGTCTAGACAAGTATTTCTAGTCTGCTAGATGTCATCTGCATGGACCTCTTCTAAAATTTTAACGTAAGTCACGTATATAAAAACCGGTTTGTCACAGATTGTTAGCTACACTAGGTTTTGCCGAGATGTGTTGTTAGCAAATTTAGACGATAGAGAAGCGATATATGGCAATGGAGCTGAGTCAGACTTCATGAAGCGTTAGCTCGTCGGAGCTAGGTGCATCTGAACGCGACCATTGATAGAAGAGTCGTTCCCTTCATTATCAGGAAAAAATACGGAAGAGCCACCATTGCCCATTGGTATCATACCCAAAGGCAAAGTTAACGTGATGAAACAGCAATATGGAAAAACTGAAAACGTGGAACTTTGTTGAATATCGATACATGCACAAAAAAGTATATATCAAGGCTGTCGAAAAAGCTGCGATAAAAGGTAACAGGGCACTACCACTGGTTTATTCTACCTTCTCACTTTCCAGAGGCCAGTAGGCCTGGCATCGCAGCATAGACCTCTAGTGCTCAGACAAGCCTCCTCATCATCTGGCACTTACATTGTCTACGGACCCCTCGAAGAGCTTAGAGCAGAATTACAATAGCTTGAGCTAAGAAGTGACGCATTCCTTAAGTAGCGTTGATTTCAAACTTGTAGATGTTATCGCTTGCGTTCTCAGGGTTTCTTGTATGCCAGATCACATGAATATATCCTTCTCCGTCGTTGTATCTTGCGTGTTCAAGGTTAGATGCAGACATGGTTTTGAGAATGCTTTATTGAGCAGTAACGCTCAGTAGACATCAATATTACTGTTATTCCTGATGACTGACTACGCCACTGACAATGTCGCACAGTAGAAAAGGAATATAAGCTGCATTTTTATTTCTTCCTCTCCGCTCTTCCCGTTTGCGGTTAGGTAGAGTCGGGTCAGTCGAATATATTATGTAATACGTAGCTTTCTTTGTATGCTTTTGAATTGCTTTGGGGAATTTCAGGACATATTTACTTCTTTAAGGTTTAAAGTAAGAGCACGGTGCTCTGCCTATTGCCTATTCCTCTTCTCATTCTTTTTGGCATAAATTGCCAGTAGTCCCTCTGCAGCTACACAGCTTGCAACTTGGAGAACACATCGAGACATTTTCCAAACCTGAACCGCTATGTACCAGTCTACCATGACAACAGTAATGAATGTTACATACGCAATAAGAAATGATTGGGAGCTTTTCGTTTGCAGCTTGTTTTCTACCTTAACTTGTCGCATCTCCATTTTACCAGTTTTCACGCTCATCCGTTTAGCAAAAGTAATAGGACAACTGCCGCGCAGTGGTCCATTTTTATAAAAGCCCTGCTAAATTTGAAAGAGTCAACTATTGACAATAGAATGACTTCATTACATATTTCAGAGTTGATACCCTAGATAATAGGTTGACCATACAAACAGAACTTCCCTTCCCAACTAACAATTATCCTATTAGAGTTGCAAGAATGATTATACAGTATTCCTTACACAGCATTGTATTCTGTAAGAACATTGGCAAAACCCTCTTAGAACAGTTATACAAGCGGAGTGGGCACACCTAATAGGACACTTCAGTCATTTAAGAGGTTGTGTAAGGGCTGCAGGTATTAGTTATATAACAAAAGTGTAAGCCTCTTGCAGCCGCTATAGAACATTTGTGTGAGTGCAAGATTCAGTTTTTGTCAACTATACAACTATTCTGTTACATGATTCTACTTTATTGCAACCAAACTATTTCTTATGTATTGTATAGATGAGGTGAAGAATATATAGCTAACACATTACAGTCATCTTGTTTACTCACACATCGGCCATTGTGAATTTCATACACAGGTATATACTTCTACACTGTGATATAGGGCTATTGAATTACATGGGCAGCAAATTTTATTGTGATTATCATGCAAAGTAGTTACGCAATTTCTACGGGCTTCGTATTTGATTCATATTTTAATAATGATCAAAAGTATGTCTAGATTTTCAAGATGGAAAACTGAACTTATCTGCGTTAAATCTTCCACAAATCCTATATTTAGACACATTTACACTAATGTTAATCACTTTATATCTGTAACTTCGAACTGAAACATAATTATTTAATACTAAATAGAGGAATAAATGTTTGCCCAGTATGGCGGGTGGTTGTTTATAATCAGGGCATCGTCCATGTTGTCTTTAGTTTATTAGAATATTTTGGTGTTACCTGCACGTGTTATACAACAATTTGACAAATGTCTGAAATGAAATACCGACAGAGTCGAATGATTTACCCAGAATTTGTACCAGATCTATATCTTCTGTTTGAACAGTTGATAAAACCTTTTGAACCGATATGCAGGCGTTGTTTGTCTTAAGACATTGGTTATGGCATTTTGACAAAAATATGGCAGCAGAATGTTAGGTTATGGTGAAGTTTTATACCAACACATTTAGCAACAAATGTATGCCGAGCACAGCAATTTTGTACTATACAAGCCTTTAACAGTTACTAAACAACACTTGTATAAGTGCTTCCGTTGGGAGCAATTTGTTGGCTAAAGTAAATTTGCACAGCAAAACAACAAGGCTCAGGTTTGTTTTATAAACGTTACCATTGATGCCACAAAACAACCATTTTGACTAAAGGGCAAATATGCCGTATAAAATAGTTGCAT